TCCAGTGTCAGTATTTACTCAATACTTGCATGTACCTGAAGGAGAAGAGCCTGATATTTCTGACCTGGTTGCAGCTTCAAGGCTACCAGCACTCCTGTTGACGAACCCACTCTCTATTCTGTAGTGGATAGGATGGAAACCAGCTACAACTCTTGGAACTCCATTGCTGTTCTTGGACTAGATCAAACCACTGGAACTGATCCACTCATCAAATCCAACAGTGATATGTCTGGTCAAACTCTGTATCATCAACACTAGACACTGTAATGGACATGAACTCACTTTACAAACCACTCTTGTGAACCTTGTCCAGTCGATACACTTGTATGATGAACACAACTATTGTGTGTCCAACATTCAATCAAAACTATTCATCTGGATCAAACCATCATGAACATCGACATCAAAGACATTGACACAATCCCTAATGTTTTGTATTCAAAAGTCTATTCTGGCAACATACAAATCAGCATCGAAATGTCAATCGACAGACTGACAACTACACAATATTGTCATGATCGGTGTCAGTGGATGTGAACAACAACCTGCTATGGTTTGTGTCGATATTGTGTATTTGACTGTTTTATCGACCTGATTTTGATCCCAATCCCGATTTGAATGCAATGATTGACAAGTTGGCAATGTTGGTTCATGACAAAAAGACGCAGTCAAACATACTGTCAACACCAATCTAAAAGACTGATCCAGTGCGTGATGTGTGTCCGCTTGTTCTGATAACAATTCGTAAAACCACAATGTTGACGTTTTAAACAGCAGTGTATCCAAACAAGCAGATAAACTGGTGCGAATTTGTCTGAAATCATTGTGTAGTCATCTGATGATACTTGGTATGCGTCCGATAAGGTGTACCAACAGTCGAGACAATGGTCGGGTTATATTTGACGAATCGCAACATGCTAGACTATTTGGGTCTGGGCTATCGTCCAACAACAATCCATCAACAATCTATTGACACTGATGGGAAATGATGAATACTGCTGTTAATACTACACCATGCTGCATAAACACCACATATATCACATTGCAAACTGACACAACACAACACTGATTGACCAATATCAAACCAGTTGATGGCGCAATCTACATTCGATTTTAAACAACTGTATTGCTCCGTTTGTTGTACAATACACGACATGATCAGTTGGTAGTATCATGCAACTGACAAGTGATTGCAATTACGATTGGTAGTTACAATCAACACTGGTTGTTATCAGGTTATTGATGTATATGAAACATGCAGTACACAGTCAATGATATGGTTGTTGACTCATTCACAATACTCGATAAATATCAATATATCAGAAAGTTTAAATTTATTCAAAATCAAACTCATCGACACATCATCAATCCAAATCTGAACTCGGCTCTTCAAAATCCAAACCATGCTTTATCATAAACCTTTTCAATTCTTGTCTGATACTGCATACTCTTATTCTTGCCGCTACATACTCTTGTCTCAACCGAATTTCAGTATTTGGATCGTACTTTGATTCAGATGTTTTTTTCCCCATTGCTGATCTTGGCCATTGCCTGTATTCAAGACCCGTAAATTCATAATATTCTTTGCGTTTTTTGTTTCGTACTATTTTAGACTCTACAAATCTTTTCTTTATACGATCAAGGATTTTTTGATATTTTTGGCTTAATACAGCCACTTGATTTGTAACAGCATTATTGGATTCGTCTTCGTCCATTGGCTGTTGCTGATCTTGGTTGGAAGTGCTTGGACTGGATTCATCAATTGATTGTTGCTGGTCTTGGTTGGAAGTGCTTGGACTGGATTCATCAATTGATTGTTGCTGGTCTTGGTTGAAAGTACTTGTACTAGGCCGATCAGTTGGTTGTTTTCGACTTCGTTTGGAACTGCTTGGACTGGATTCATCAATTGGGCGCTTCCGACCTCGTTTGTGACTGCTTGAATCAATTACATCAGATAATCGCCTCCAGTATTCTTCAGAAATACCCGAACCAGGTTGACCTATTGGGTGTTGCTGGTTTTGATCGGAAGTACTTGAACCGGATTCATCAATTGGGCGTTTCTGACCTCGTTTGTGACTGCTTGAATCAATTATATCAAATAATCGTTTCCGGTATTCGTCGGAAGTACTTGGATTGGGTTCATCGATTGAATGTTGCTGATTTTGGTCGGATGTACTCGGATCAATCAGATCAAATAAGTCTTTCCAGTCTTTGTCAAGAGTGCTTGGATCAATTGTATCCATTACTTCTTGCCAGTCTTGGTTGAGAATTTCTGGATCGGGTTCATTGCTTGGACCAGACACTTGACTCGAAGTGCCTGATGCTTGGGGTGAGCCATCGTTACCAGTCGGGATCAATATTGCATTAACGGTTGCTGCCGCAGTCAATACGAATAAAATGTCAACCAATCTCATCAGATTGGTCAATGGGTTTAAACAATTAGTAGAAAGTAGAGTGCTGAAATTAGCGTTGATTAAAAGACTGAAGGTACTCGATTGTATTTGTATTTTTTGTATAGCAAATCAACCCTAACCCTTTTAGGTTAACCAATTATACAGGGTTACTTGATTGCTTGTAGTGAGCAACTATCAAACTAGACAGTATGCTGTTCCCTATCCACAATGCCATATCGATTAATTTGATGATCATGTCGATTAAATTATGCTTTTACGACCCTTTGATCAGGTATGTTGAAAAGCACACCCTTTATGAGTGTTGTGTGACCGCAAACGCTTTGATTTACAATCGTATTCATCATGAAATGACTGTATTCTGCATTGCAATATACAATAGTCACTACACATTGACTGCATTGCGTGTTCGATATACAACAACCATCATATGACACAATCAGACTATAATGTTGAATTTACACTTTTGTACACTCTTAGTAATCATACATTGTACGATCACCAAGTTTGAACCCATATTCATGTGTTGTGTTTGACTATCAATGTTGTCAATACAACTCTGTACACACATTTATTGTATTCTGAATCACAGATACAATCACAATCTAGTTCAACAACAATGATGGCACATGTCAGTAATGCAACTGTTTATTTCACACCAACACTGTTATTTAGTGGTCCATTTACATCAATATGGCTGCAAGTTGTCGTTATATCACGTATTCTGGGCATGATTTTGATATTACGCATCCAGTTCCATCACATTGTTGCTGGCACATTATTGTAACGCTGCATGTATCAAACACTGGCATGTCCTCATAACCATAACCTTAACCAGTAAAATGACACTCGAGTTGTTTACTATGTCATTCTGTCACTGTGATCAGTATATGCAACCCAGTGTGACTACACATACTAGATCCAGTCTGTTGGTTGTTTCAGTTGATCTTGATCCAGTTTTGATGTTCTGTCCGAGATTGGCAATACAAATGTGTCGAGCTGAACCCAAACTACACGACTCGACTGTTTGTGTCAATTGGATCGTGATCGAGCTATGCGATCATGATGTGTATTCAATCAATACCATGTATTACCAATGCAATAGTATGCGTGATCATCGTGTATCAAACAACTACGATACACACTGGACTGATCCAATACATGCATGGCTTGAACATATCACACAATAAAACATCAACACACCACATTAAAAATACATATATTAGCAGTTTGTCTATAATAAATTGTATTCAGTCGAGTTTATCGTGAGTTGTTGTGTGACTCTTGACAGCGTGGTGAGTTTTTTCAGGTACAACTACTTGATTAGTTGTAGTTGATGATTAACACCAAGAGTCCCGATGTACACCATATCAACTATAAAATAGTCATGGTCATCATCCATTCAACAAATAACCAATTTTATTGATATATCTGTTTAGTCCTCAAGTTTCTCGTAACTAACTTTTGACCGCCTACTACTACGACGAATACTACCAAGTCGCGAAAATGATCTCCTGAGAGTAGATGTTCTACCTGAACTTGAACCGCTTGGTTGTTTAGGCAATCTAACACTATGCATCAAATTCATAATCAGTATCAATATATCAATCAACACATACACACATCAATATCAAACAACTTACTGTGATGATGGCCAGAGCACCTGATCATTGTTTGAAATAATAGGATATCCATCAGTCGCAGTTTCGCATCCACATCCAGGACCAAACCCAATGCGTTTATGTGTTTGATCAAATATCAATCTAAGTCGGGTCATAAATGGTATACCAAGAACTGCTTTGTCATTTGGACCAGATTTTACAGTAAATCTAGCTATAATCCAACATTATATTAGTCAGGTTAATCAAACAACACATATTGCATACAATTGTCAAATATTTACCATGTTTGGAGTCATATTTATGTAGATAGTCTTTGGGACCCAGTTTGATTGTTACAACTGAATCACGATTGTCATCAGTCACGGGGTTTTCAGCAAACATTGTAATTGTAAGCGACGGCAGCCTGCCCCAATTGATATTAAGTTTGGATTTGGGAATTAAACGGTTTTCCCAAAATATTTTTCCAATTTCTGTTTCGCTGAGCTTGCGCTTGTGTTCGGATTTAGTCTTTTTGACAGTGATTGCATTACTACCAACAATGGCATCAACCAACGCTGCCACGACTGTTTCAGGAAAACGCATATATACAAAGCATGTATGTATATATGAATACAAAATACGTCCATTCTTTCCTTGGTTTTTTTGGAATTCCTCCGGCAGCTCCACTTGCTTGCCATTGACTAGTATACTCTTGATATTGACAGTAAATTGATCGTCTGATGGTGATTGTATCCATGCAACACTTTTTCCATTTGTTCCACATTTTGGAGTTACATCCGTACTTCCTATATTGATGGAGCTTTTTGAAAGCATTTCATACGGACATAGTTGAATACTAACCTCGTTTTTAGGAATGACACCACCATTGTACAAAGCATCTATCGCAGTGACTCGTGAATGATGATTTGACAACGAGGTGTAGCCAAATCCAAATACTCCTTGATCGGGGTTTCCACCAATACCAACCAGACCTGCCGATTGTTTTTCAACTGATAGTACTGGTAGATTGATGCCAGTTATTCTAGTACTCGGAATCGTCACAACGGCTGTGGAACTGATTCCTCTATACTCATTGCCTTTGTACTTTATAGTAACGGGCTTCCCACTTGAAATACTTTCTGGAGTCGAACCTACATCGTTGCTTGAACTAGGAAGTGGTACCATTATACCGGAAACTGATGAATCGACTCGTAAATCCAACTATTTTAAACAAGTGTGAGATTGATTCAACGTGGTGTAAACTGATATCAAACTACAATACATGGCATGATACATACATCAACTCCATCAACATTGGATTTAATTGTGTAACATTGAGCAACATCATCACCCAATTCAACGGGTGATCGTTTTGACAGCCTATTGTTTGATTGACCAGTAGCTCCAATTGGTGATTCTAATGCAAGTCGAACTGCAGCAACCGCCTGTAACGCAAGTATAACGCATTCTAGAGTAATCAACATTGTATCAAGTAGTGTAATGAAAATGGGTTGAATCTGGTACATGACTGCCGTTTTATAACGACGGTATCTTCAAGGGCGACAATCGGCAGTTCCCAAATGGATATTTAGAAAACACAAGTACACCATGTAGGGTGAGCAAACTCAGAAACACCCTGTAGGGCGAATCAGTACACAAACATTGCTGTTAGTGAAAAATCATTTTTAGTAGTATGCTGTGTTGATATTCCCAATTGTGGTGGTGTGTTCAGTGATCAGGTATTGTCAGATTATCACCCTGATTATGGATAATTATCATCACATACAATCCATTACTACAGCATATACTGTCACTGTATACCAAATACTTGACTGATTGTCCAATTGGTCATGTTTGAATCACTTGGACACAACAGCATCCAACAGTCTGTTGTTGCAGTATTTCAAACCCATGACTTTTCCATTGGTATGACTGCATGGTCATTTTAGGTCAATGTAGACTGTATACATCAAACACTGCTGATTGTGTCACAACATGATCAACATCAAACTCGGCAAACTGTCGCTGCTACACTGAATGAGTGACATTGTACTATAATTGAATTGGGGATTGGCAGGTCGTTCAACAAACTGGCCGTGTCAACAGGTCAGATTGTCATCGTGTACATGAACCACAATGTATGATCATGCCATTCAAATCAGCTGTGATGACTACAGCCTCGCAGACGCATGACTCCCTAAGAACTCATGTTTACCCTCCATAGCTGTACTCATATCTAGGTTTATAAATATACCATACAGCTTCTCATCATCAACCCTAGTTTTATCAATAAAGTTACTTGATTCCTACTAGTACAAGCACCTGGTTTTTATCCCGATTCCCTCGCAATTAAGTAGTTCCTGACATATACATTCTACAATATAGCACATCCTGTTGTTGATACCGCGTATTGTGCTTCAACAGTCAATCTTGTAGCTCGCAGACATATGACTGCATGTTGGTGTTGTTGATAGTCGGAAAATAAATCACAGTAGATCAAAGATACAAAGGAATGAACCAATAAAGTAATTGACTTGTTTATTAAAGAATGGGAAGAGCGTGTATTTATAAGGTGGGAGAGCGGTAAACGATAACAGAATAGGTTATGCGGGTCATTGCTCAAGCATCATCGTTGTGAGGATCTCTGATTACTATAGTTGTTTCATCAGAAATGGTTGATATCACGACTGATGATCACAGCCCAAATACATACAAAGCTTCCACACACACATACAGTGCAAATCAACAGACTCCATATCTCAACACTCTCACATTACAATGACATACGCTATCATTTATTTAAAAAATGGATCTCAACCAAGCATGTATGTCAAAGTATTTGCAATGTTTTGTTAGAAAATAGGCTTTTTGAAATATTGGTGTTTGTCACTTGATGGTCTATCCAGTAAAGTATCCCTGTTGTTGTTGAGTTGCGTTTAAACCAACGTCAAACAGTTGTAAACCAACGGATGATCAGTGGTGTTTGGTACAAGATCATGTTTGAAATGTTTATTGTAAGATTCCAAGTATTCTCAATACTGAAATGAACCATTTTGGTTTAGAATTGAAAATGACCATTTTTGTCAAATACCACCACTGATATTCAAGCATCATGTGTCTTGAACTCATGTATGCAAATGTCAAGTCTAACCAATATCCAGTGTCAATCTTTGAATGGAACTGGCCATGCGATTGATGCTTAATGACACTTTTAATTAAGCCTGATACCAAAGTCGGTTTGTATTTGTGTCTCATGAGTTCACAAACAACTATAAAAGCAGATTGTCAATTAGCAAACAAACGAGTTGCATTTGCGTTTTTATTAGTTTAACAATAAACACATTCTAGTCGACAATCTCATGGAATGTTTAAACTCTTGAATATGCTTGAACATTTACAGAAATTGAAAGACTTGAACATCAGATTTGCAAACATTTGATTATGTGAGTAGTCAATGGGTAGTCAATAAAAGGTCAGTATGGTTGTGTTTTTACTGGACAAGTCTTGGATTCTGCTTGGTCGATAAACCATCAATTCGTGACGCAAGTCTTGATCTGCGTCTTGCCAAAGTTGATCAATTTGATATTCCCTTGACCAGTTAAAATCATGTTTCCTGGTCTCAAGTCCTCATGAACTACACCAACCGATTACAAGTGTCGAATAACACAATTCAACTCACTGTCTGTTCTCCAGTCACAGTGTTTTCCAGGAATAAAGTCCAAACCAATCAAGTGAAATACTGTCCGTAATACTCACATTCTCCATAATAGCGTGCAATATATTGTAGATTGAGTTTGGCGAGCTTTTCGTAAATTGATATTTGATTAGCATTTTGAATACATCAAGATTGTTGTAGGAATCACAATGTTTGACAACAATGTTGCAGTCATTGAGTCGAATGACTTGACCAGTTGCTCCAAATCCAATCACAGTACCAGAAGTAAATCCACATTCAGATTATACTTGATTGTGCTTGAATCATTACTGCCAGAGTCTGTTGAACTGGAGTCTAATTTCTGCTGTTCAGTTTGATGGTCTTGTAAAACAAATTGAACAAATAGATTGCCTGAATACGACTAGGAGAACACAGATCGTTGTAAATGGAATGGCTGATACGCAGAGTATCTCTGACAGGTTGCCAAACCAAATAGGTAACATAACAAGTCACACATTCATAGATCAGATTGTTCAAAGCGAGATATCCATAAACTTGGTCAATCACTGTGCACATCCATATGTCCAATATCTCCACAAGTCATTTCTGTTGGTTGGCACTGTGTATCCTCTTGATACACCTTTACAAGTCAAATGGTTGTCCATTTACAGAATGACGAACAGGCAGATCATTCGAGTCTTGCTTTCAATAAACGACAAGACTTTGGATCAAGAGCAAGAACATTGTCCGAAGCTCCAATAAACTCGAGATGACTCTCCACTTGAGTTGCTGTTTCAAGCGTACAAGGGAAAACACTAGCCTTGCTTCAGATTGGTAATAATCTTCTTGGTCTTGAAATATTCAGTTGAAGTTGTAAAGAATATGTTTAATGCATCAACATTACTTTCAAGTGTGAATGTAATTCCTGCTGTAGTATGCAAAGCAACACCATCTCCAATGGAAGTTGTGTGATATTCGTACTTTGCCGAGTCTGCTGTAAAGTCTTTTCATTGTCCACATACAATTGTGTTTTGGGATGGTTTCTTCTAGTGCCAGTAGTTTGAAAGAGTCTCAACATCCAGCAGTGTTTGATAACAAGCTATCGAGCCTTGTTACTGTAATGCTTTTGACTACATCTTGCCCAGTATTATTGTTTGATTTGATGAGTGAGTTGAATGGGTTGATCTCAATGGTCGCATTGTTTCTAATAACGGTAATGGGATCCCAGGAGTTGTAGTTGGTCTCTATTCCATCCACTCTCTATTCTGTAGTGGATAGGATGGAAACCAGCTACAACTCTTGGAACTCCATTGCTGTTCTTGGACTAGATCAAACCACTGGAACTGATCCACTCATCAAATCCAACAGTGATATGTCTGGTCAAACTCTGTATCATCAACACTAGACACTGTAATGGACATGAACTCACTTTACAAACCACTCTTGTGAACCTTGTCCAGTCGATACGCTTGTATGATGAACACAAATATTGTGTGTCCAACATTCAATCAAAACTATTCATCTGGATCAAACCATCATGAACATCGACATCAAAGACATTGACACAATCCCTAATGTTTTGTATTCAAAAGTCTATTCTGGCAACATACAAATCAGCATCGAAATGTCAATCGACAGACTGACAACTACACAATATTGTCATGATCGGTGTCAGTGGATGTGAACAACAACCTGCTATGGTTTGTGTCGATATTGTGTATTTGACTGTTTTATCGACCTGATTTTGATCCCAATCCCGATTTGAATGCAATGATTGACAAGTTGGCAATGTTGGTTCATGACAAAAAGACGCAGTCAAACATACTGTCAACACCAATCTAAAAGACTGATCCAGTGCGTGATGTGTGTCCGCTTGTTCTGATAACAATTCGTAAAACCACAATGTTGACGTTTTAAACAGCAGTGTATCCAAACAAGCAGATAAACTGGTGCGAATTTGTCTGAAATCATTGTGCAGCCATCTGATGATACTTGGTATGCGTCCGATAAGGTGTACCAACAGTCGAGACAATGGTCGGGTTATATTTGACGAATCGCAGCATGCTAGACTATTTGGGTCTGGGTTATCGTCCATCAACAATCTATTGACACTGATGGGAAATGATGAATACTGCTGTTAATACTACACCATGCTGCATAAACATCACATATATCACATTGCAAACTGACACAACACAACACTGATTGACCAATATCAAACCAGTTGATGGCGCAATCTACATTCGATTTTAAACAACTGTATTGCTCCGTTTGTTGTACAATGCACGACATGATCAGTTGGTAGTATCATGCAACTGACAAGTGATTGTAATTACGATTGGTAGTTACAATCAACACTGGTTGTTATCAGGTTATTGATGTATATGGAACACAGTACACAATCAATGATATGGCTGTTGACTCATTCACAATACTCGACAAATATCAATATATCAGAAAGTTTAAATTTATTCAAAATCAAACTCATCGACACATCATCAATCCGAATCTGAACTCGGTTCTTCAAAATCCAAACCATGCTTTATCATAAACCTTTTCAGTCTTAGTTTCGCATCGTTCATTCTTTTCCCTGCCTTTCTATACTCTTGTCTCAACCGAATTTCAGTGTCTGGATTGTACTTTGATTCAGATATATCTTCCCCTCTTGCTAACGCTAGCTGGTGTTCCGATCCAAGGAATTCATAATTATTATAGTCTTTGTGTGTTTTTTTTGCTATCTTTTTATACGCTGCAAGTATTTTCTTCATGCGATCAAAGGTTCTCTGATATTTTTCGCTTAATACAGCCACTTGATTTGTAACAGCATTATTGGATTCGTCTTCGTCCATTGATTGTTGCTGGTCTTGGTTGGGAATATTTGAACTGGATTGATACATTGGATGTTGCCGGATTCGGCCGGGAATACTCAAATCCACTGGTTCTTCCTGATATTCATTGGAAATGCCTGACTCGAGTTCATCAGTTGGGCCAGACACTTGACTCGAAGTGCCTGATGCTTGGGGTGAGCCATCGTTACCAGTCGGGATCAATATTGCATTAACGGTTGCTGCCGCAGTCAATACGAATAAAATATCAACCAATTTCATCAGATTGGTCAATGGGTTTAAACAATTAGTAGAAAGTAGAGTGCTGAAATTAGCGTTGATTAAAAGACTGAAGGTACTCGATTGTATTTGTATGTTTTGTATATCGAACCAACCCTTTTTGGTTAACCAATTATACAGGGTTACTTGATTGCTTGTAGTGAGCAACCATCAAACCACAGTATGCTGTTCCCTATCCACAATGCCATATCGATTAATTTGATGATCATGTCGATTAAATTATGCTTTTACGACCCTTTTATCAGGTATGTTGAAAAGCACACCCTTCATGAGTGTTGTGTGACCGCAAACGCTTTGATTTACAACCGTATTCGTGTCAAATGGATCACTTTGATATTCATTATGCAGCGACTGTATTCTGCATTGCAATATACAATAGTCACTACACATTGACTGCATTGCGTGTTCGATATACAACAACCATCATATGACACACAATCAGACTATAGTGTTGAATCTACACTTTTGTACACTCTTAGTAATCATACATTGTACGATCACCAAGTTTGAACCCACATTCATGTATTGTGTTTGACTGTCAATGTTGCAATACAACTCTGCACACACATTTATTGTATTCTGAATCACAGATACAATCACAATCTAGTTCAACAACAATCATGACACATGTCAGTAATGCAACTGTTTATTTCACACCAACACTGTTATTTAGTGGTCCATTTACATCAATATGGCTGCAAGTTGTCGTTATATCACGTATTCTGGACATGATTTTGATATTACGCATCCAGTTCCATCACATTGTTGCTGACCCATCATTGTAACGTTGTATGTATCAAACACTGGCATGTACTCATAACCATAACCTTAACCAGTAAAATGACACTCGAGTTGTTTACTATGTCATTCTGTCACTGTGATCAGTATATGCAACCCAGTGTGACTACACATACTAGATCCAGTCTGTTGGTTGTTTCAGTTGATCTTGATCCAGTTTTGATGTTCTGTCCGAGATTGACAATACAAATGTGTCAAGCTGAACCCAAACTACACGACTTGACTGTTCATGTCAATTGGATCGTGATCGAGCTATGCGATCATGATGTGTATTCAATCAATACCATGTATTACTAATACAATATTATGCGTGATCATTGTGCACCAAACAACTACAATACACACTGGACTAATCCAATACATGCATGGCTTGAACATATCACATAATAAAACATGGACACACCACATTAAATATACATATAATATCAGTTTGTCTATAATAAATTGTATTCAGTCGAGTTTATCGTGAGTTGTTGTGTGACTCTTGACAGCGTGGTGAGTTTTTTCAGGTACAACTACTTGATCAGTTGTAGTTGTTGGTTTCCTTCTGCGAATAAATGTGCCACTTGAACCTGAAGTACTTGGTTGTTTAGGCAGTCTAACAGTATGCATCAAATTCATAATCAATATCAATTAACACATACACACATCAATATCAAACAACTTACTGTGATGATGGCCAGAGTACTTGATAACTGTTTGAAATAGTAGGATATCCATCAGTCGCAGTTTCGCATCCACATCCAGGACCAAACCCAACGCGTTTATGTGTTCGATCAAATGTCAATCCAAGTTGGGTCATGAATGGAATACCAAGAATCGCATTGTCATCTGAACCAGCTTGTACAGTAAACATGACTATAATCCAACATGTACATTAGTCAGGTTAATCAAACAACACATATTGCATACAATTGCCAAGTACTTACAATTTTTAGAATCATATCTCTGTATATAGTCTCTAGGACCCAGTTTGATTGTTACAACAGAATTGCGATTGTCATCAGTCACGGGGTTTTCAGCAAACATTGTAATTGTAAGCGACGGCAGCCTGCCCCAATCGATATTATAAGTGGATTTGGGCATTAGACTGTTTTCCAAAAATATTTCATCAATTTCTGTTTCGCTGAGCTTGCGCTTGTGTTCGGATTTAGTCTTTTTGACAGTGATCGCATCACTATCAAGAATAGCATCAGCCAACGTATCCACGACTGTTTCAGGAAAACGCATATATGTAAAGCATGTTTCTATAATGGAGTACAAAGTATGACCATTTTTTCTTTCTTTTTTTTGGAATTCCTCGGGCAGCTCCACTTCTTCGTCATCAACTAGTATACTTTTGATATTGATGAAAAAGTGATCGTCTGATGGTGATCGTACCCATGCAACACTCCTTCCATCCGTTCCACATTTTGCAGTTACGTCCGTATTTCCTATATTGATGAAACTATCTGAAAGCATGCCATACGGACATAGTTGAATACTAACCTCGTTATTAGGAATGACACCACCATTGTACAAAGCATCTATCGCAGGGACTGATGTGTGATGTTTTGACAACGAGGTGTAGCCAAGTCCAAATACTCCATCAAACTTTGGATGGATACCAACTGAATCTGCCGATTGTTTTTTAACTGATAGTACTGGTAGATTGATGCCAGTTATCCTAGTACCCGGAATCGTCACAGAGACTGTGGAAGTGATTCCATTATAATCACTGCTTTTGTAATTTATAGTAACGGGCTTCCCACTTGAAATACTTTCTGGAGTCGAACCTACATTGCTGCTTGAACTGGGAAGTGGTACGATTACATCAGAAACTCCTGAATCGAGCCGTAGATGCAACTATTTTAAACAAATGTGAGATTGATTCAACGTGGTGTAAATTGATATCAAACTACAATCCATGACATGATACATACATCAGTTCCGTGAACATTGGATTTCATTGTGTAACATTGACCAACGTCACCACCCAATTCAACAGGTGATCGTTTTGATAGCCTATTGTTTGATGGACTGGTAGTTCCAATTGGTGATTCTAATGGGATTTTAACTGCAGCAACTGCCTGCAACGCAAGTATAACGCATTCTAGAGTAATCAACATTGTATCGAGTAGTGTAATGAAAATGGGTTGAATCTGGTACATGACTACCATTTTATAATAATGACAGTTTCAAGGGCGACAATCAACACTTTTCAAATGGATATTCAGAAAACACAAGTACACCATGTAGGGTTAACAAAGCCAGAAACACCCTGTAGGGCGAATCAATACACAAACATTGCTGTTAGTGGAAAATCAATTTCACTAGTATGCTGCGTTGACCTCTCCAATTGCGGTGGTGTGTTCAGTAACCAGGTAGTTTCAAATTGTCACCCTGATTATGGATAGTTATCATCACATACAATCCATTACCACCGCATATACTGTCACTGTATACCAAATACTTGACGGGTACTCCTAAGCGGTAACCTGTAGCAAAGCTAATTCTAATAACACCCACTTTGAATCTCCAAATTAAACCCTTCATCACCACCAATCCATATGCTCCAAACTCCATTACTCTCATTTCTGGGATTTGAGTCCCCAGTAACGGGTAACTGGTGTCATTATTAAATTGGCTAGTTACTTTCGTTTACAACCGCTAACTATCAAACATGCTACTTGTTCGTATCACAAGACAAACAATCAACTATTATAAAAGCTAATATGCTTACTCTTATCAATAAACAACTCGTCAAACTATTTCAACTTTCTAATTACTTATTACATCTTTTACTATTCCTGAAAGGACCAAGTCTGCTGATCTTGGATTAAAGTGCAACTTCCTTTTACCTTCTGATTTGGTCTCTTTTGATAACTACTAACAGTTACAGATTATACTCTACTACATTTATACACATCACGAAGCTCCTAATATTCTGACAAAAAATGCACAGCACGCTTGCTATGGAACAAAAACAGCACTATTGTCCACGTTGCTACAAGTATATTGGGATCATCATTGTATCACACACTGCTGGTAGCTGTAAATCGGACGACAAAAACACAAACAGTGATGTTGAACATGATGAGTAAACCTAGTTGTATTGGTTGCTGTTGCACAAAAACAGCTGTTTTTAACAGTACATTTTGAATATCGTAATGTTGATCAATCACAAATATATGGGTTTTGGTGAGTCCAGTAGATCAATTCAGTGTATAGTAGTGATTAGTGCAATATGATCAATTTAAGCATGCCATGTCATTGTATTGGTAATGGATGATGTTTATTGAATGAATGAGATTGAATGCAAGATAAATAAGTAAATTATCATGCAATACACGCTGGATTGTAGCATATCCTACTCGAGACTGTTGATGGTCCACTTTGAGCTGCAACAATGTGTTGGGTCTATGGTTCAAGAGTTTGTTGTTCGCACCAGAATCTTGAGCAACTGCACCATGCTCAGATTGTGGCAATCACCATGGCGAGCCTTTGTAGAAAATACCGAAGCATTTCATAAATCCGGGAATTGACTTCAGATCTGGTGGACCATCAGTGGTCATTGCCCCAGTTGTATCATGTTCCAAGAGGTAATCATGAAGCTTTGATTGCGACTCGACCAATCTCCTGTGCCTTCTCGAGTGTTCATTCTGCATTTCATCCAGCTGTTCTTTCAAGCCTTCGATAATCTTATTAATGTCTTCAATCTGGAATTCAGTCTCGAGGATCTTTTTCCCATAATATGAAGCGTTTCTGGTTCTCCAAGCTTTGGTCCACATAGAGTCAAGTTCTTCTTTTAGACCCAGTATCTTTTTTTCTTCTTTATGAATCTTGGACCGTTTCCTCCTGACCATTCTATTTGCTTCGTCGTATTTACGTTTAGCATCTGCGTATTGCTGGATCAGCAATATTCCGTCCTCACCAATTGGAGAACATTCAGCCAGATATTGGTCATATGGACCAGGAGCTGTGATAGAGGTAGATTCACCAGTTGAAGTTGCGCTTGTAGAGGCTGTCGAAGTGCTAGCTTCAGCACTCATGGTCGAACTGGGATCAACTGGATTGGCAATCGTGACTGAGCAGACAGCAAGGATTGATGACAGTAAGGTGATTGATAGTTTCATTGTATTGGTTTGGTTGAACAAGTTGTAATGATTGCCGCCCAGCACGTCAATTTGATGTCATATTTATATCCATTATTGGGTAAATGATACTAAAAGCATGTTCCTTAAATGGCCGTCCTAAGGGATTTGTGTTGTCGAGGTTAATGGTGATTTGTCATTAATGTTAATCTTTGAAGGGATATCCATTTATACAATTTCCCGTTGTTTGAGCTGTAAGCGTAGTATCAGGGTTAGACTTCATCCACAGTATGCTATGTGACAGTATCATAATGCGGAAAATATGTTTTGATTACTACACAATACACAAACAATTTTATTTATCCACTCTATTATTATGCAAATATATTTATTACCAACACATTAGTATATCTGAATTGATCAGATTGTATCAACTGATTACTATACAATCACTGAATACATTATACTTTGGTGTCTACCATTGCAAGTTTATAATGTGTGTTGGTTATAGTCACATTGATACATCCAACACCAACATGTTAATCATGTTGCATGCATAGTTTCACTCGCAATACTACTTGATTATCAATGTCAAGCAAATACTATCCAATGGTTTCAATATACATAGCTTATAATTGGACACACTCGGTATTTGTATACACATGTTGTAGTTGTATGCATTGTACTCGCCGATTTGTGCATTGTGGATTTGTTTGATGCAACTGTTGATATTGATTGGGACGACAATCGACAATCGATGTTTCTGGTTGTGGTTGTAGTGTATGCTATATCATCAGATGTCATGTTATGTGATCATACTGCATACATTACACTAGACAGCAGACTACATGCAAATGATTGATACTGATCATTGCAAGTACACAACAATGTGACAAATGACTGTCAAATCAAATATGGCTGATATGTTGAATTATGGACAGATTTGTTGTACATACTGGATGTGAATACAAAACATCGGTTGATACATATCGTATCATTCAAGACCAAAACAATGTGATGTGACGTTCAATGTCAGTTTGTAGTATGTCAATGGAATATGTGCAAATATTAAACATGGATTTGTGGATACTATCAGATTGTCAGATTGTGGACATATGATGGCATATTGATGGTTGTCATTATTGGCAAGTGTGTTGCAGTTGATTGAAGATGTGAAGGAATGAATCAATATTTGATTGTGTTATTTATTAACAAGGAAGTGAGTGTGTTTATAAGATGGAAGAAACCAAGAAAGCCATGTGAATTCCAGTTCAAACGTCATTGTTGATGGTTTTTGTTATAATTATTCCATCACAATTGATGATCACAACTCACACACAATGCAAGTCAACACTCTCACACTATCAATGTTTAACAATCCAAACATAAACAATTCTTGGAAATGTGACTCAACATTCGCATGAATGAAATTGTCAAATCAAAATTCAACTTTACTAATTTTATCAAACATACAATTGATTGATAGCATGAAAGAGTTTATCAAACACCTGGAAGATTTGAAACTGTTAACAACGGATACTCAACTACACAAGGCTGATGAAATATGGGGTAAACTGCATGTATTGATACCGGAATTGATAAAACATGGCTACAGTAAGTTTAATAGTCATTGGATTATTGATGAATTCAAACTGTTGCTGACTTTGTGTTGGTTTGAAATGTCAGAATTTAAAGATATAGTGCAGCACTTACAGAGTATTGGACTGCAAGATATCATAACCAAGTATTTGGAGTATAATCGACCCAGTTTACAGGTATTCATATATTGTAACAATAATGGATTGTTCATGACTAAAATAACCAACATGTGTTGTGTAGATCAAAGTAATGGAGTTTGCTGCAGTATTTGCGAGTATGGTGTACTATAATCATGAGTTCAAAGTATCACATCGACTAAGCAACCAACTTGCACAACTCATACAATCATCAAACCGTCAAGTCAAAATGATGGCAAGTCATGATTGATATTGATCAAATGATTGACATTCAACTCATTTAGTGTCAATATGCATATAGGCGATAAAAACATGTATAAAGTTCAGTTATAAATTCTGGAGTGAAGAGTGTAAATTTGACATCAAGCCAATGGTTGAGATTATTGTTCACGAGTCCGATCA